TTGTACATTCAATCTGCCTGTACATTGATAACATTCTTTGGCATTCCTTCGTATTTCATTCAGTTATTGTCTGATTATTTTCATGTCCCTATGCTTTTCTTTGCGAATAACCTCATTGACAAGGTTTGCAATCCTCAGGAGACAGGCAGCTGAGGGGGCTGGTATATTTTTCACACATTTGATGAAGCTTTTGGTGTCTGAGTAAGAGCTATTGAAATTCCACGGGTCACAGAAGCTGGTTTAATTCCCCGACAACTGTTTATTTCGGCCTAAAGCTTAAATCTTGTCGAAAGTTATACCAGCTTCTGTGACACGCGGAATTTCAATAGCTCTAAATCGGAATAACTTTAGGTACGCCATTATATTTGTTTGCAAGACGTTTAGAATGAGTACTGTTTGGCAGATGTTTGGGATGTAAATGTAGGGTTTTTAATTTATTTGGGTTAAAATTCAAAGTTTATCAACAACGAGCTTTGACATACATACATATACACAAGCTACATATAAGGATGATCATGTACATGTTTGAGTTAAAAATATTGACAAGATAAATGCTTAAATTTTTATAAGATTTATACAATATATTGTTTGTTTGCAAGGCAATAATTCAATATCTAGAAGGTAACACGGCTGGCACTTTGCAATGTCGCGCCATCCGAAGCCCCATTGCAGCATGAAGATGAATCGAAGCTAAGGTTTCCTTGACAGACTGGTTTCATTTCCCTATGTTCTCGACTGACTCGGTTGATCATATCCAACAGTTTGCTTGTATGAAACAGCTTGTAGCAGTCATTTTTGCCACTGACAATGATATGAGCCGCGTCATGACAAAACCAACATAGTGCGTTTGCGACCAGCGTGGATTCAGACCAGCCTGCGCATCCTGATCAGATTGTACGGATGCGCAGGCTGGTCTTGATGCATGCTGGTCGAAAACGCATTACGTTGGTTTTGTCATGGCGCTGCTCATATATACTTATCAATCATAGTGTAATGTATCAATTTTGCAATATCAAGGGGATAAGGAAAAACAATAACTTATTTATTTGGATTTTGATTTATATGTGTCTTTTTGAGTTGTCTCCCTTTGATTAGAGACATAAGTATAAATCTCTGATCTGTGTTTTTAATGGTACAAACCATAATATTACCAATAAAATATAGATGAAATGTATACATGTATATAATTAATTTCCTAAGTTTTATAGCTAAAATTTGTGAAAAAAAATCACCAGTAAAAGGTTAAAAGTGTGAAATAGATAGCAACAATTCAAATAAATGTTTGGATCTTTGATACTTTTAGTATCATATCTGATTGTAGAATAGTCTTTCCTTTGGCGCTGTCCATCGTCCGATATAAATTAAAGTTTCACATCATCTTTGGGAAAATTTCGAAGGAGTTTGTAATTTACCGGCTCCTGGTCTGAGTTCGCGGCTGAAGATGACGCCTTAGGTTAATATATTAAGTGGGTTCGCCTGTACAAGAGTCTTCTTTTTTTCAAGTCTGACATATTTAATTGTCCCTGTGCCTGAATTAAAACCATCAGTACGTGGTGAACGGTTATGATCCTTTTCAAATCTTGTTTTGCACGTTTTGAAATTGATTTATTTCCTCTTCTTATCCAATTTTCTCACAATTTTAGCAGCATAAAGATAAAATGAACAATTTTGGGGTGTGTCAGTCCTGTGATCAAAAGTCAATTACAGTGAACAGAGGGTGTGTCAGTCCTGTGATCAACAGTGAATTACCGTGAACAGAGGGTGTGTCAGTCCTATGATCAACAGTCAATAACAGTGAACAGAGAGTGTGTCAGTCCTGTGATCAACAGTCAATTACAGTGAACAGAATCAGTCCTGTGATCAACAGTAATTACAGTGAACAGAGGGTGTGTCAGTCCTGTGATCAACAGTGAATTACAGTTAACAGAGGGTGTGTCAGTCATGTGATCAACAGTGAATTACAGTTAACAGAGGGTGTGGTCAGTCCTGTGATCAACAGTGAATTACAGTGAACATAGGGTGTGTCAGTCCTGTGATCAACATTCAATTACAGTGAACAGAGTCAGTCCTGTGATCAACAGTGAATTACAGTGAACAGAGGCTGTGTCAGTCCTGTGATCAACAGTCAATTACACTGAACAGAGGGTGTGTCAGTCATGTGATCAACAGTGAATTACAGTGAACAGAGTCAGTCATGTGATCAACAGTCAATTACAGTGAACAGAGGGTGTGTCAGTCCTATGATCAACAGTCAATTACAGTGAACAGAGGGTGTGTCAGTCCTGTGATCAACAGTCAATTACAGTGAACAGAGGGTGTGTCAGTCCTGTGATCAACAGTCAATTACAGTGAATAGAGGGTGTGTCAATCCTGTGATCAACAGTGAATTACAGTGAACAGAGTCAGTCCTGTGATCAACAGTCAATTACAGTGAACAGAGGGTGTGTCAGTCCTATGATCAACAGTCAATTACAGTGAACAGAGGGTGTGTCAGTCCTGTGATCAACAGTCAATTACAGTGAACAGAGGGTGTGTCAGTCCTATGATCAACAGTCAATTACAGTGAACAGAGGGTGTGTCAGTCCTGTGATCAACAGTCAATTACAGTCGAACAGAGGGTGAGTCAGTCCTGTGATCAACAGTCAATTACAGTGAATAGAGGGTGTGTCAATCCTGTGATCAACAGTGAATTACAGTGAACAGAGTCAGTCATGTGATCAACAGTGAATTACAGTGAACAGAGGGTGTGGGGTGGTCATCCTCTTTGAAGTCTTTTTACGAAAAATTTGGTTGGCTACCTCTATATAACGAGATGAGTTTTATGTATCAGGCATGTCATACACCCAGAAAAAATCGCATCTCTATGGTGAAAACTCAATTTTAAAGTCTGTTTTGGGGCCATTTCTCATAATGTAAGTCTATGTTAAATTAATGTGAGTGTCTCCCTTTATATTGGCCACTGCGTTAGTATCATAGTAGATAATGCAAAGAAAAATCACGTTATATTAATGGTTTTGTCAACATTCTTTCTTGAATTAAGATGTCAGCTATAATGGATTTTACACAATTAACCTTATAATTTACTTGAAATCTTATTTAATATTTTTATCATTTCACCATCTTGAGGCGAGTGTCTTGGAATGGCGACACCGCTATTTTTTTTAATCCTTTCGTCTAATAATAATAATTTAATAATAAATTTGTTTCTTAGTTCATACAGACTTTATTTGAGTTTGGTTTATAAGAAGTAATAAACCTACAACACACTTTCGAATCGGTTCCCAGAAGCGACCAGTACAAAGCAAAAAGTGAAAGTACACTTTCTTGCTTAAAGGTATGTGGACAAGAATAGGCATATGCTTTTCTGTTAGATACGAATATTACAAACACACAATCAAAAAGGTTTTGAGATGTTTTTAAATGGGGAGACTATCAATAACATAATATTTAGAAAGTCATTTTTTTCCTTAACGTGTTCCGCAGCCCTTTTGCGTTGATGACGTAGAAATATCTCTACCTTATTCTGTTGACCTTTATACTCGTGTGTAAATACTTTTAGCTAATACATTAAAATATCTGTTGTAACACTATCGGATTGTTTTCTATATAAACAAAGAAGGCCCGAAGTGTGCATTTTTCTACAACAATGCACTCGCCGTTCTTATTATCTCCCTGTGTATTTTCACATTGAGGGCGCCATTTTGTTTGGGAAATCTGATAAATAAAAACAATTTTTTGTCGAATTTTGTTGTGAAAACTTTCTAGAAAGAAAGAAAATGGTCTAACTTAGAAAACGAATCCGAACACCAATATCTTTAATTCAGTCGATAACGCTGTACAGACGCTTAAAGTGTTGTTAAGGTGACGCCACAATGTAGCGCCAAACAGCACGTGCAAAACAATCAAATCAAGTACGCTATTTTAATGTCGCAAACGACATTATTTAATTATTAATGATGTTTATTGGTCGTGTTAAGTTTCCATTTTATTATTTCCTCCAATTTTAGCAAATTTGCACACAGACACGCAAGCTAACACGCACACAACAACACACCAACACACGCACACAAAACACACAGTAATTCAAATTAATTTCTTTACAATTTCAATGGGCTGTTTCGCAGGTAAACAGTGATTTTGTCGGTGGCTGTTTTTTTAAACATATCAATGTGAACTACAAATGGATCACCATCAGCGAATTTTTTATTAAGTTCCAACATAATATGTACGTAAATAAAAGTCATATTACAAGAAAGACAGCAAAATTTCGTTATCATGAACTACAAATGATTTACAAAGGGATATATGTATGTCACTTCCTGTTTAGGTCGCATCTGCATAACGGATAGCAACTAGCAACTCTTACATCTGTGTGATACCGGGCTTTGTAAACGTAATACTAGGGCAATAACCGATAATTCAATACGTAAATTATGTAAAATAGACAATCAAATGTAACACGTAGTACGAAACTATGATATCCACTGACCAACAGTTGCCCCTAACAGGTTTTGAGCGCAAGCGACCAGCAATCCTTAGATAACTAGTCCGATGCCTTAATATTTTGGAATGCTGCCACACTGCTCCCTATATTATTCTATCTTTTAAAGCATGCATTTCTAAATTTCATTTTCGTTTACAATTTTTCTTGGCAGGAAAGATTAAAATACAATTTTGCGTAATGAATTGTAACATGCATTTGGAATATAAAGTGAGAATGCACCGACAGATATACATACATTCATTGTTTATTATACCGCCTCCGTGGTCGAGGGGTTAGAGTTGATGACTTCTAATCCAGTTACCTCTCTGGTGTGGGTTCGATCCTCTGGAGATGCTTTGGTAGTTTAGCACGGAGGAAGGTAGTCTAGTACTGATATAACTCTCTTGGAACGATGGTTAGGAAACTACCCGCCAATATGACTGTTTACTGTTGGGAAAAGGCGTACGAAATGAAACAAACAAACAAACAATCATTGTTTATTGTCAATGGAGCAGATGGGTTATGTATCATGATTAGACTTAAGCAATTACTGATATCAACACAGAATTAAACTGTAAAATGATTTTAAAAAAAAATTGTTTTTTTAATAAGTAAATAAATGAAATAGCAAAAGAAAAAGTAATATTATCATTCGATCATGAACCGTAAGATGTGTCAAGACAAGATGATTAAAAATATTAATTAACAACTATACAAGAAGCTGCATGCCTCCAGAAAAGTCAAAACATTTGAAAAAAATCTAACTTGAGAAAAACCCAATTTTGGAAAAAGTAAAACTGATTCTAACTTGCATGTTATGCGTCATTCATGACTTTGCAGTTATGATTACAATATTTCTACTGAGTAAGTAGGGTAGTAACACAGCAACGTAATTTTTAGATATATCAAAAGTAAAGTTTTTTTTCTTTGTCAAAGAAAATTTCTTAATATATGTTTAATCAAACACTGTGCCTAGTTTCTCCAATATTATTACATGTTTATTCAATTTACTTTTGTCTACTTTAAATATGTTGTGATAAGAAAAAATGTTTTTATTTTTCACCAAATGATATTATACTGATTATTGTTACAGATTTCAATAAGTGTTTTCGTTAAAAGGAGGTTAATTAATATAGGCGACAAGAACTTTTAGAAACAGTTTCAGTTTTCACTAAGAATACATTATAGTTTTTAAAGCTACATGCTTCCAGATGAGTGAAACTATTTCAATAAAATCAAACTTGAGAAAAATGTACTAAGATGTAATGAAAAGTAAAAAGTTTCAAGATTCAAGTATCATTTTACATATTATGCGGGATTAATGTCTGATTGTTCATTATTTACAACTAGATTTCTACTGCGTTCCTAACACAGTTAGTCTTTTATGCATATTTTGACCACTACTTGGTAACTTACATGATTTGTAAGTGTCATTGATAATGTGTAAATTGCTTCCTTTTGGTTTCGTTACAATATTACAGATTCAAATACATTTTCACAATTTTCATTAAAATTAATATATTTTGGAGGCGGACTGCTGATGAGTAAATACGCAAAAAACAACATTTTTTTGATAATTCATCTCCTCTGAAATATGACACATAGAAACAATAATTTGAAACATGACCTATTAACAATAAGAAATGTCGACAATTGTATAGTATAGTCCCTTCAGTTGAACTTCTTACATGTTCTGAAAAACAGTTCTCCCTGCCAATGTTCTTTTTGCACGGTAAAGTATTCATCACCAGTTTCAGAGAAACCGTAACAACTATAATGCTGTGTATCACGATAGACTCCGTTACACACGTTCTTATTCCAGTTTATGCAAGCTTGTTTACATGCTCTACTACTCATCCCTGCACTTCTGCCAAGGAAAAAAAATTGATTAACTTCCATCTAGGAAACCAAATATTTCTTTCACCGAATGTGTTGATGCATGACTGATTTCCTGAAATATGCAAAAGAATATCATGTGAAAATTATTGTAATATTTTTTTCAGTACAATATCCTTATAATACGTCTGTTTTGTTCCGATATTTCAGAAGCTTCACAGAAATCAAAGATAAAGATACTTGTTTATGTTTATTTCAGAATATGACGAATGCCTGTTTTAAAAATTTGGATTAGTGTGTATATCATTCATTTCTGCTAAAACTTGAAAAAGGAAACTCGTCGTTTCAAAATAAGGTGGAAAAAAGTAATTTTGTTTAATTGGCTTAATTTATTGTTTAATAGGCTATCATATGATATTTTATAGGCTATTTTATGATGTTTCATAGGCTAATATACGTTGTTTTATAGAACATCATCTAAGTGTCATACATTATAATATAATGTTTCATAGGCTACTACAAAATTTTCCATGACATGGCTATTCATAATGTATCATAGTTTTTAATTAAATGATTCATAGGCTAAAATATTGTGTTTCATAGAATTTTATATAAGTTTTATTATGATGATTAATGTTTCATAAATTATTATAACATTACTGACTAGTGTGCCACTGAATATCATGTGATATTCACTGGCAGATGACATGATTTTCTGCAGGTTAATATCACATCATACTTTATGGCTCACTAGTCAATAATTGTTTTATTATATGAACAGGCAAATGTTAAAAACACTCACAAAAATAAAGCCTTTTAAAGGAAAACAACAATACACATTGTTTGGTTGTTTTCTTTCATGTACTGGGAAAAAACGCACTGTGAACAAGCTGACGTCAGGCGTTCAGCGATAACGCGAACGCTGCGCAAACAAAAGCAATTAAGTCTAAATACATCAATGCGGTGAAACTTTTATCTATTATAGGTAAGTTATGATATCTAAATCGAGAACTATGATATAAAGAACAAGGTTAGCTTTTAAAAAAGCTAGAAGCGACTCGCTTCGTAATTTTATTCCAGGGGTGTGTTTAAATGTAAAAATGACAGTTCTGTACCTGAAGAGACTTCAGTGAACATCAAAATATAAGTGACATATAAAGTTACGGAAGCCAGTTCTCTCAGTTTAACAAGTGGAATATGAGTATATATGAAGATGCATGTAAACGGATAGAATGAAGTCCCTATGTCTATGCATATTTACTATATGGCCTGTTGACCTTGACCAAAAAATGTTAGATAGGTAGAATTCATAAAGATGTCTCTTTATACAAAGTTAAGTTGTAATATGTTATTTAGTATTGGAATGAGTGACAGACACAAGTCCTATACAGGAATATATTACTGAAGAACTCTGGTGTGGGCAAATTTAGATTCATGAGGCATGATAATTTGATTTGTACAAGTTCTCAAGTCTCGTAAATCCCGGTCAAAATAGACCGGGAGAGACCGGAAGCGACCGGACCGGAGAATAGTATATCCCAGTAAATACATACACAAAATACCGGAAAGGATTAAATTACCGGAAAAAAAAGAAAAAGAAAATATGCACAGAACCAGATGTACACTTATGTCAATTAACTAATTAATTGTTAATTATTTAACTTACTACAGAGAAAACAGGTGAAATCGCTAAATCAAAAGTCAGTGTAAATATGATTTATTGAAAAGAATTCATGAAAACAAATATTTCATCATCATTATATCTTTGCGCTCAAAGCAATACTTTTTGCTTTTTTAAAAATGGCGTGAAAATTGAAGGTTTTTTGACGGTATGTAAGATCAAATTTGATTGGCTTAATTATTTTGGATTCCAGCCTTGACAGACAAATTTTGTAGAAAGCTGGAAGCCAAGCTTAGATTAAATTTTTGGATGGATTCGTAGTTTTAGGTTGTTTCTAAGTAAAATCCTAACGTAATACCGGCTCGCCATGGCGAGCCGGCACAAAAACGCGGAACTTATCTTTTTATACGTAGTCTAATTGAATATGAGTCTCAATCTATTTTTAGATCGAAATAATCCAATTTAGCTTGTGAATAAATGATACTTCACCCAGTCATTATAATAATATTATTATTATAAACGAAAAAAAGACACTTTTGAACTGCAATATGAATATTTTTTCAACTCGTTCAATAAATTTAGTATTACATCTACACTCATTCAATATCCCGTATGACTTTTGCATCTTCCAATGAATTTACGATATTTTCATATGTGCTACAGTCGTTAATAGTTTGCTGCAATTAGAGGAGAATATTATAGAATGATTGTACTAAAGGCGTGTTCCGTGTGATATTGAATAACCATGGTAACATACACCCGGTACAAGACATCTTAATGTTTTTGAAACAAAGTTGTACTTCTATTGCATTCATAATTTGCTGTTTTAACGTAATTTCAACTAACATTATCAATATAGTTAAAATGACAATATGTCTAAATTTAATATTCAGACATGAAATGGCTACATTATAAATATACGAGTATATAGCAGTAAATGTAGAAATATGTTGTATGTTGACAAATTGAAAATTCGTGCGATCGTTAAATTCGCCTATTAGACATACCCCTTTAGCTACTTACGTAAAGATTAAATTACCACAGGGCAACTAAGAGGCGATCGGGACAATCGTTTGTTGCTGGCGCAAGCAATTCAAATACGGTGAATGACGAGATCACAGACAAGAAGGGAGTGGGCGACGACGCGAACAATTGACGCGACGTTATTGACGCCGAATGCAAATGCGTTACAAAAGGACTGGCGGTAAACAGTCATTTTGACCTAAATGTAGCAGAAATATTTTCGGTTCAAAAACCAGCACTATATATAAAATCATATTCATTGTGTGAAGTATCATATTTACTGACTGAATTAGGTGTTCCCAATCTAACAATAGATTGAGGCTTATACTCAATGACCTTATATCGTGGACAGTTCATTGCGCGTGCGTATAAAAAACTAAATGTTGCGTTTCGTTCGACATGACGGATTTCTCGATTAAAATATCAATACTTCATTTTAATAGTTAGAACTTGCACCCCAATGTTGTGTATAAATTTGAATTGCTTTTGTTGCGTAGAACTTCAATGAACGACTAACGTCATCTTGTACAATGTGCGTCCTTTTTCCCGCGCTTCAATGAAAACAGGCAAAAGTTGCGTTTTGTATTTTCTTAAAAAGATTTACTTTTAAAAAATATTTGCATATAATAAAACAATTATTGACAAGTCAGCTATTGAATATAATGTGATATTCACCGGCAGAAAATTATACTGACCTCGGCTATATGTCATATGCCGATGAATATCACATCATATTCAATGGCTGACTAGCCAATAATTGTACATGTATATTGTTTTATAGGCCAAACAATGATATTATATCGGCTGTTATCATCAGCTTTACTATAGTGTTTCATAGGCTATCATTTAATGTTTTTTAGGCTACTAATAATATTTCATAGGCAATTATAAAATGATTTATTGGCTTCTACATAATATTTCATAGGCTATACAATGATAGATCTTCCAAAATGTTTCGTAGGCTTAACTATAATATAATGTGTCCTATGCTGTTATATATTATTTCTTAGGCTCTTTAATAAAGTCTTATAACTTTTCTATATTGAACAGAATTTGTTCAGAAATTGTTCAGCTCCACCAATGAGGTTTACATTTTTCAAAAGGAAACATACGATTCTGTATTATACAATATAAAATTGTTAATTTTCCTAATTAAAAGGAAAATAAATTAAAATAGGCTTATAAAAGCATATCAAAATGCCTTTTATTTTGATAATCTAGTTAAATATTTACCTTCCCTCTGCAAGGTCAGATCACTTCCTTCTTTTACCCATTGTTGTTTAATATTTCTAAAAACATAAAATTCCTCCATATCTTCAACATATATTGATACATATTCCAGGTCCCAATCAGGTAAGATATCATGCCATCTTCCACCATCATGTCCGATCTGTACACTGTGTATCTACAAAAGTAAAACATTAAAAATGAGAGATCCTAGATTACACCGGAACATTGTTATATTTGCAGTTGAAATAACAAAAAAAGTGTAAAATCGGTAACTTTACAAATTTGCATTTCATAAAAACGTCTATAGGGCTAGGCCGCATTATTTTAGGCAGACATTTATATGTACAAATAATGACTTGTACTTTTGATTCGATTTGAAATGCTTTTTATCCAATTTGAAATGCATTAATTCAAGAAATGAATTAAATAATATATTTTTCTTACAGTACAGGTTCATATGTTCCTGGTTGATATAATTTAAGTCTAGTGGGTCAAGCACTATTTGTTTTATTTTTACCACCACATCATCAATACACACAATTAATACAATAACATAATTTCCAAATACATCATCAATATTTTTCTGTGAACAAATATGATCAATTTATTGATTTATATTGAAAGCGCATTAAGTTAAAATCTAACATGTCAGCAAGAGCTAAACAAGAGTATATCCACATACGTAACACAGGGTTTTGTAGCGATTGCTAAGATTGATTAAGATGAAAATGTTTGCTTCAAATTCAATAGAACTCGCCAAAAACTACTTATAATAAGAATACGAATATCAGTACAGATTAAAAAAAACTAAAAACTTAACAACACTATCACTTCTTTTAAAAGTAATCAAAAATAATAATGTTACTTACTGGTCTAACATCTCTGGCAAATGTCCTGATCTCGTCGACATTACCAGATTCAAATCTTCCCCTTAAGTCTATTCTTCTTGTGCTTCCTTTAGAGCCGAACAGAGTAATGTAAATATTGGCATCTGTACCGGCACCGGTACGTGTTCCCGTTTTTGTACTGATCAAGTAAATTTTACCTTAACACAAGTAAAAGAATATAAAAATAATAATGTCTGAGACACACAATTTCAGTTATTCAAACACAACACATTGGATTTGTCTAAGAAATAGCGATTTGACTGGAAGGGAGGATAACTGAACACTATTAAATGTAAAAAAAAGTTGTATTACCAGCACACTTGTTTATCCGTTCTATAAATAGGACCAAAGTTCGCACATTTAGTGCTGAAATTGTTACATTTAAATACCTGTCATAACAAATATGAACAATTTATTTGATAAGTAAATGAAACAGCATCGAAACACTAGGCTATCTTATTTGTACGAGGGGGCGTAGCCCCCCCCCCCCGAGTATAAATCAGCTGGCCAAGTGTTTTGATGTTCTTTCTCTTTTGTATCATAGTCAAACATGAAAACGCGTTCCCTGTTGTCAGAACATGAAACCCAGAAAAGTAACCAATAAACAAGCATGTGAATATGATATTTCTGTCGCTTTCCCTTTCTCTGCCGTCACAATAAGTAAGCCCCGGCAAAAATGAGCCAATCAATGGGCATGTTCTGGAGAACGGGTAACTAATTCCTGCACTCCAGTTAACACACTGTACATATATATGTATACGATTTAACTCTGGCACATTTTCAACAGAGAGGTCCCCAAACTATTATACAAATTAATGAAATCGTGTGGTATTTAAATTAATTAACAGGATCAGGATTACATTAATTGAAGCAGAAAATAATATAGCGGGTAGAGCATAGAAATTGATTGTCATGGATATAAATCATAATGTTTTAAATCTTAGAGGTTAAAGTAGAACGGAACATTAAATATCAATTCAATTGATAGATAACATGAAACAACACTTCAGCATTTAATAACAGAGGCATTACAATTATTTGTTCTCAAACATATTTGTTTCAATTATAACAATATTTTCTAGAAAACGTTTTACATTAGTTAAAGGCTTTTTATCAGGGTACTTTGATCTAGCTTTTTATAGGCAATTGTCTATTGCCCTTTAGATATTGCGGGATGTGATGTTTTAAAGGATTACGATCCAACTCTCACTTCAGAAACTATACAAACATATAACTTACATACAGCTATTTTGGATTTTTTTAAAATAAAGATAAAACAGTAATTTTTAATCAATATGTTGCAAATATATATGTTTTATATAAACTAAAAACGTTACATAGGAGTGAGATATATATACGGAATATTATTCTCTTTAAAGTTTTTGAGGCTTTGTAATTTGCTACCATCAGCGTTTAGAAATTGGTATCTCGCGATAAAGTTACAGTCATGAAACATCATTATCCTTTCATAATTTACCTATACTAATATACAGTACGCTCACCGCGGGTTTTGCTTTTTCCGCGATACCACCGTGGACGATTTTTTTTTATCGCGGACAAACGCGGGGGTTCGTCCGCGATGAAAGCCTAATTTCCCCCGCGATCCCCGGTGTTCAGTTGTTTCCACCGCGGACAAAATTCTGACGACCGTTCTTGAATCGTCGATAAAATCAGTCACCCGTTTCTCGCGGGGGAACGCCAAGGTCAGTTTGTCAGTATAAATTAACCTCCAAAAATAATAGACGTTTTATTATTTTTTAACGTCATCTTTTTTACACAATGACTTGAAAATTGACCACAATCGTCTCCTTAAATGTTATTATACGTTAATTTTTTTGAACGGAATTTGAAATAAAAATAATTACAGCTGTACCTGTTTTTGTTGTTGTTTTTAATATTTTTGTTATAAACGTCCACAAAACTATTCGTCCACATACCAATATTTTTTACAACTGAAATCGTCTTTTATCACTGTCATCTTTACTTTTTCATTCCTTGTGGTTCTCAAAGTATTATTGCTGTTAAACTATATGGGAGCCATAAATATGATACTTAGTATAAAAAAGGACATTTGTGCTGATTTCTCAATGGTGACTGACGCTACAGTACATGTCCTGTAAGAGGTCGATGAGTGTGAATACAAGACAAGACATAAATAAAATACATGTACAGAAATAAAATAAAAAGATATTTAAACCATCTATAAGATTTTATTTGTATGCAATTATATTCTTTAAAAACGGGTAGACTTGTTTGTTTGTGTTTTTTACAGTAAAAACCCCGTCGAAAATGGACATGAGAAATATGCATGACACTTGCCAAAAAGTTTTTGTATACTGTACATACCGTATATTTGTTTGACACAAATTCACCCATTAAAAAATAATAATTAAGCTGCCTTTTACAAATTATAAAATTACATTATTATCCTCGGAATTAATTTCAATGAAAACTTGATATAATAAATACAAGATAGCAAAGACAATTACGTTCAATTGTATGTACTTAAAACTACATGTTGTCTACAAATACTATTATTCCCATGAACAATAATATCTTAAGATAAAAATAAAATGAAATATTTTTAACTTGAAAATCGGTCGATGGAAGTTCTTAGAAAATAACTGCCATGCGCTTGTTTGCCTTATTTACATGTACATGTATGTACATGCTGTTCATAATAAAATTACAAAAAGTATAACGTCAAGTTTAACAAAATGCTGCAAAAAAATCTATAAAAAAAATAAAAAAGAACAAACAAACAAACTACTAAAACAAAAATGAAAATAAACTTCAACAGTTGATACAAACTTCAAAACATATACATTACGCTCACACCTGTAATTAGATAAATCAAGAATATCATTTAATGTATATTTTGGTGAAATAAACGCTTTCTTTTAATGTTCCAAATAAAATATAAGACTTTATGATCAACATGCAAATAAACAGAAACAGAAAACGCATCTGACAATTGAAAGAGACGTCCTGGAATATTGCCGGAATAATTTGCCGAGGGTTACGTTTTCAAAGTTTTTAAATAAGAAACAAAAACTGGAAAATAAGTTGTTGTAGTATCTTTTTCATAAATGTCATATGTCGAATTTTTCATTATTTGACTTCAAGTTTCTCACAACCATGAAGTTGCGACGTCAATGATTTATCTTGATGTCGAATACATATTATACATTACCCAACACAATAACAAGAAGAAGAACAAGAAATACACTGCATTTGTACATGTACTTTTATTACAACAAAAAAGAAAACAAACAAACAAATTTTACATATAATTATATGTACAGTACATGTTACAGTACGTACGTATACTAATGTTTAAATACAGTAATTAATTTTTAAAATTTAAGGTTTCCACCGCGTTGACCGGTGTTTGACCGCCGCGTTCCTCTGCAGTTTACCGCTGCGTTCCGCGGGGGAAACGGTTTCAGCCGCCGATTTATGTCCGCGGTGGTGAAAATTTTCTGTCCGCGGGGTCACGCGGACAATATCTGAGCAAATTTTCGTCCGCAGTAAACCTCATCCGCGGGGTCACGCGGGTTTAAAAAAAGTCGCGCTGAGCGTACTGTAATACGGGTTGATCTATGAAGATGTGTGATTATCTTTTAAGAAAGAAAATTTATAGTTACATAATAAATAGTATCAAAACAGACAATGCACTGTTAAAAAATTATTCCTCTTCAATAGTTAAAATTAAAGAATAAAAATTTCAACATTGAAGATATGTAGATGTATGTATATGTACATTTTACCATTAAAGCAGCACGCCTCGAGATTCATACTAATTTTAATGAAAATTTGAAAATGTAATTAATAGTATAATATTGTGAAAGTTACCAAAAGAATGCAATTTATACATTATCAATGGCACTTACCACCTATGTTAATTACTATAAAGAGGTCAAAATGTGCATAAATAGCCCTTACTGCGTTAGTAACGCAGTAGAAATATATTAAAAATTACGGAAAAATTCGTCATTAATCGCACATAACTTGTAAATTTTTACTATAATTTTAAATCTTTATACCTTTCCTTAAATCTTAGTACATTTTTCTCAGATTTGATTTAATCGAAATATTTTCACTCATCTGGAGGCGTGCAGCTTTAAGCCTTTGTTCAATTCCATCCAAGGGCACTATTTATGCTTTTACATTAGTTAATCCTAGAAAAACATAAGGATGTTCGTGCATAACATTTCTTTCGAAATATATTCTCTAAATTGATATGATTTACACAATAGTTGTAATCACAGGTACACATTTTATCTTATACATATATTTATACCTTTTACACAAGTTACTATATCTGACCATGATCCATCACTTCGGCAGGTCATTTCCTGGTCAGATGATGGAAAATAACCCATTTGACACGTAAAATTGTGAACTGTTTCACCAAAAGCAAAATAAGTTTTTTGTGTGGATACCTTCGCCATATCTTTATTTTCAGGAAGCATACAGGAACCTATAAATATGTTATAAGTAAACATTTAACTTATTTTCATTCCGTCAAATCGAGACAACAAATTATTAAAAATAGTACAAGTTATTGTTTCTTATATCCTTCATTGTTACATGTTATTTAATATGATTATTGTTATTAGTTTATTAGTAAAAACAGCCAGCCAATGTCTTTATTTCTTATAATCATACACAAATTAGTCTAGAAAGCAATACTCATATCAGCCTAGTATTATTCCCCTTCAATAAATACAACTATACTTATAGATTCAATATATCATTGATATATCCTATACTGTCTTATAAATCATAACGTTACTTTATACCAGTATTTCCTCAATATATACTAACGTTGTTCACAGTTTGCTCCATATTTCCCCTCTGGGCATTTACATTTACCAGGACCAAAGCATTTACCATCATTAGCATAGCATTCATCGTCACATATGACTATATTTAAAAATACATGACAAATAACATAAGTAAACAACCTTGCAGTGTTTAAATATGAGTAAAAAAGGATAAATCGAAATACAGACTTGGTAGACTGTTTACAGATATTTAACACAAAAAATCGGAGAACAAATCATTCGTAACACGTAAAACACGGGTAAATGGATCAAAATGATATGTTCGTATATTAAATTTCTTAATAAGAACTCGTTTAGTTATGTTTATTTTAAAGACATTGTGTATCCAAAGTTATCATAATTTAAAACAAGAATTAAGTCATATCATACACAAACATGCACTACCGGGTACGGTGTACGCCAATATTTATATCTTTATTTTCCAAAATATAAACGAAATCATCATTACCATTTTCACAACGTTTTCCAGATGATAAATGCTTGCATTTACATTGATCGTCCCTCAAACAAACACCTCCATTTTCACAATTCGGTTCACATTTTGCTAAAATACATCACATTCCTTTTTTATTAAATATTTCATGAGGTAAACACAGCTGTCTTCAAGGATATTTACAGCAATAAATAATTGTTCAATATATGTTTTTGTTTTGTTATTGTGATCAATAATTCATATCTCTTGACCAAAGAGGAAGCGTTTCCGGTAAAGTTTTTAGACCGTCCTTGATCATTGACCTACTGTCCCTTAAATAAATTAAACGAGCCTTGCAGGAGGGTCTAATAAAACAAAGCATGTAAAGTTATCAATTAGAAAATCTTTCCTTGTTTATATAAAGTAATTTTAAAAACTATGGGAGTTCATAAAATTTATCAATTGTGATATCAAAAGATGCTGTAATACATTTTTATTGGTTTTATATCATAAATATTATGCTCAAATGAAGATTTATCAAAATTGTAAGTTCCAAAAAGCATTATTTATAAGATATTACATTTACATTTCATGTTAATAAAGGGAGGTTATTAGAAATTTATTTTTTATAAAATCTTAGTCAAATTTGTCATTAAAAAATAAATGCACATATTTTAACGATTACATATATTGTGGACAAATATTTGTAGTTCATATGTTACATATTCTTCGGTTTTTTAACATTGCTTTAGAAGGATAATTATATACATATATAAAGTTTCACTATAGTTTGGTAACAACTTTAATTGCAACATACAAAATTTGTAAATCATATTAAGTGAAATATTTTAACGTATTATACCAGAACATCATTATAATATACTTTTCAATGCAAATCGTGGAAAAACCATAAATTTAATAGAGTCAACAAAGCAATTATTCAATAAACAAATGATTTAGACCTTCACTCAAGGCTAAACTTATAAGAAGCCCCTTTAATAGCAGTTTTAATGTCTAAACCAACTGGCAGTAAGTTTATCTACGGTTTGATAGACAGTGTAATATTAAGAATAAAAATGCATAGTTTTGAAAGTAAAAAAAAATCATCTCCTATGAAAAAGAGAAAACCAGAATCCCTAAAGAAAGAATCCCAACGCGGCAATTTTTTCAAATTTTAAAATGTTGGCAGGCTTGGTTTGATTGAACCAGTTCATGGACTGTACTAAAAAAGGGCAAAGTAACCTCCACGTCCCCTGGGGCCTCCTGCTTTAAAGCCAGAAATTCAACATTTAAGCACAAAATGTGACTTTTGAACTAAAAATTATTCCGCAGTTGTGCCTTTTATAATGCAGGTTATCATAGAACTTTTTAATGTTAACACTTTGTAGTGGCCGTTCCATAAAAAGTGGCGCATGGTCCCCAAAATAAGCAACATCAAAAGTATAGAGATCAATATTAATAATTTTGTGTGAAGTTCATCTTTGATTAAAAAGCTTAGTATGGAGTTAAAATCTATCCAATCTAAAGTGTCGCCAAGCTGATTAATTTTCCCAACACACTTACACATTGGCACCGCCCCACTTCCCACGTTTAGAAATTTATGTATAGAACAGTTGAATATGAAAGATTGACAATTTCGAACAACAAATCATGAAGTCCTTTACAGTCACCTAATTACAGGATATGACGTAAATATAAACTACTCAATGTTGTTTAAACATATTTTCCCCTGCAAAGCATGTTAGAAGAGAAAAACAATATCAAAGTTTCTGCGCACTTGAAACCAAATGCAAAAACATTACCACAATAACGAACTTAAAGTTGGTGTATGTTTTCCTAAATACGATATGTTAAGCTACTTAACAAAGGACAAGAGATATAATTAGAAATAAAAAAAAAAACTTATCAATCAAGGAATGTGTTTACTTTTTTCTGCATATCGGGAAAGACCCGTTATTTTCCAAACTTCCATGATTTATCTCGGTTCATCCTCAATCCACTTTCGCCGTTTATACACTGAATCTTCTATTTACACGTTTTTCGTGCATATTCATCTCCTGCCTCTGAACAGTTGAAGAAAACATAGTCCCCCACCTCAACAACAGAACCTCCCAGAGAGACTTTACATGAATTTTGTCAGATATTGACAGACGGGCTGTGTCAAACTCATCCGCCACTTTACAATTTGATCTGCAAAAAATTATGTGACAAAACACAATCAAATTCATTATTTAATAAAAAGCTTTCTCCTAAAAAAAAGACGAAATGCTTGTATTACTATTAAAAACATTTAACCTGTGCAATTTTAATAAACTCGTTTTAAATGACGCGGCTTTGGCAACAAACAAAAATACCAAAACACATTAACATAATCGAACTAAACCTGTAATTTGAATACAATCAATTAAACCTTTTTCATATCTCAATTTTTACTCTTTTTTAAAAAGCTACAGTATGCAATTATTTCCCTTTAACTGTTAACAAAGGTAACATCGCCCTTGTATGGATCTGTAAATAGGGCCAATTAAATAAAGAATTGTTTTTTTGTGCAATGTATACTACATTGTACCATGATTAATTTGACTTCGTGACACAGGTGTCTTGTTGGTTTGGTAGTCCTTGTATGTAAAAATCGTTAGATATATAGTTCAAATATCATGCGAAGGCGGGATTTTTTCTAGAAGTGTTAATATCATTTTGATACAAAGTACCTTATTTCTGAGCATTTGGAAAGTGCTTTTTTATGTTATTTCAAAAATGTTTATGGTTAAAAGTAATAATGTGTCACTATCAACAGAAATTAAAAGCAAAAATGAATGATAAGTATTATGAAAACAGAAAGAAAGAACAAAACAATTTAACATCTTTATGAATACATAAAAAACACCACTTAAATTTATGTAGACGAAGCCTAATTATGGATCATTCATCTGGAACAATAATAATTGCCTGAATTCAAACACAATTCCAAAACATATCAGTTGCAGAAATAATTAAATCATAAGAATTAACAATGATGTACGGCCTTTGAAAATTAATCAACTAGTCTGCCATTTATTTCAGGATAAAAAAAACGTCAGAGACATTTTTTTACAATTAAATTCATTCATAAAAAGGAAAAGGAATCAACTGTGTATAATTTCCTTATTGGTTCGAACATAATTTGCAAAGATATATACAAGAGACGATAACTCAAAACATCAAGTGTTAGCATGCAATGGGTGCGGGAATAACAGCTTTATTGACAATATCTCTAAAACTTCATGTCTCAAACAATTTGTTATAAATAAATGAAAGACATCAAAATGGCAAAATAGTGCAGACCAGGTTGAAATTGGCATGTTCGTGGCGCAAGCTACCGTCCACGCCTAAGGCACTTTCATTCTTTTATCAGTTATTAATATCTAAATGCTGTTTTTCAAATTTAAAATCATTTAGCATTTTCAAGATATTCCAATATTGGGCCGATAAAGCATCCTTTAGAAATAATTCACGTATTGGACAGGTTAAGTGTGTATTAACCTTATTACATGTATTAAAGAAAAAAAAAGGCGGGTTAAAGTCGTTATCTATAACAATTATATATACATCCAATGTATATAAACCACCCGTACACTGATTTAAAACAATTTTTGGAAAGACCCGTCGTGGCGCCCGTTTCCAAAATTCTCCAGCTTTGTAAATCCACACTATTTTCATAAATGTATTCTTGCCTTTTATTGTTACATAATGTTATACCAATTTTAAAAACATATAAAATAATCATTACTCAGTTCTTTTTCAAATTGTTTTAAAAGCTTGTACCTAAGTTTCATTTGAATGGGTGTTACTTTTCATTCCATATCTTGTAAACCACCTTGTCTCTTTTATATTAAATATGACTGGATTGGGTTGAAAAAGTACTAATATATACGTTAATGTACATCACTATTGCGATCATCAAATATTTATTATATAGATTTTTTAAAGCCCTTATTCAAATAAATTTACCTAACTAATACTAAGCTAACACTAAATGTGTTTTGTAATAACTTCAAAGAATGAATCAGGTAGACACAACTAATAAAAGTTTGATTTCTAAATTCTAACACTTGCTCCTACACCATTTGCCTTTTGGAGCTTTTTAAATAGTTTAAATTCTTTCTTATTACGCGTCTAAACTATTAAAAATCTTGAATCTAAAAGCGTGCCTTTTCAATGTCATTTTTACTTAAATACAATACACACCATGCATATTTTAACAAAACATGTTATACACATGCTAAACCATGTTCGGATCTCTGGGTTTCATTCCTTGATCGGACTATAAAATATTACCTAACTCACACGGTAAAACCGCGAATTGCTTTCAACTTTCACCAATAGCAAAGTAGTTTCGTTGAATTTGTTAAACTCACCATATTTTTATTTTCAGGAAGTCTACAGAAACGCTATTTAAAATGTTATAGGTAAACTTTTAACGATTTCCCCGCGTCCAAGTAGAGAATTAAAAATTATTAATACAGTACTTGCTATTAGTTTTTATATCCTTCAATGTTACATATTTTAATATGAACTGAATGTATATTATGATTATTTAGTTTATAAGGTAAAAACGACTGATGTCTCAAATTCTAATTTTTATACACAACTCAAAGTATAAAATCAGACTAGAAGGAATGATCATATCAGTCTAGTTTTATTTCCCCTCAAATAAATACAACCATAATAATTAATATTCAATCAGTATCATTGATATATCTTATACTATCTTTTATATCATCAAACCTTACAGTATATGACCGGTATTTCCTGAATATTTACTTACTTTGTTCACAATTAGCTCCAAATTTCTCTTCTGGACACATTACATTTTCCTGACCAACACATTCGCCATTATTAGCATAGCATTTATTCGTCACATATAACTATATTTTAAAATGAATGACAAATAACAAAAGTTAATAGCATTGCCCTGTTTAAATATGAGTAAAATGAAGATTTCTCGAAATAAAGACTTAAATTGATTGTTTCCATATATTCAACACTTTAAATAGATTTGAAACAAAATATTTTTTAATTTGTAAACAGAGGAAAAATCGTTCAAAATGAAATGTTCGTAATTTCCCGAATAAAAACTCGTTTGGATATGTTTTTTTCAAAGAGTGGTTTAAGATATTTTGTATCTATATTGACATCATAATTTAAAAGAAGAATTAAGCTATATGGTACCCAAAAAATGCACTACCGGGGTACGGTGTACGCTAACATTATATCTTTATTTTCCAAAATATAAACGAAATCATCATTACCATTTTCACAACGTTTTCCAGATTGTTAAATACTTGCATTATACATTGATCATCCCTCAAAACAAACACCTCCGTTTTCACAATTCGGTTTCACATTTGCTAAAATACATCACATTCCGCTTTATTAAAATATTTCATGAGAAAAAATCAGCTGTTGTTAATATATTATAGATAGCAATACATAATTGGTTAAAATATATGTGTTTTTTTTTTTGTTATTGTGATCAATAATTTATATCTCTTGACCAAAAGAGGAAGCGTGTTCGTAATGCCTTTTTTTACCGTCTTTTAATCATTGATCCTACTGATCCTTAAATAAATTAAAAGGGTAATTTATGTCTTTTAACGAGCCTTGCAGGGAGAGTAAAAAAAATAAAGCTTGTAAAAGTTATCGATTAGTAAATGTTTCCTTGTTTATATAAAGTTATTTTTTAAAACTATGGGGTTGATTCTGTTCATAACATCAAAATTGTGATACTTTTAAGATGCTGTAATACATATTTTGTTTAATATCATAAATATTATGCTCAAATGAGGATTTATCAAAGTTCCAAAAGCATTATTTGTAAGGATAATTACATTTACATTTCAGGTTTATAAAGGGAGGTTATTACAAATTTATTTTTCTATAAAATCTTAGTCAAATTTGGCATTTGAAAAATGAATGCATATATTTTAACGATTAACATATATTGGGCAGTTCATATTTTGCATAGTTTTTCGGCGTTTGAACATTGCTTTTAGAAGGATAATTATTTACATATATGAAATTTCACGTAAGTGAGGTAACAGCTTTAATTGCAACATACAGAATCTTTTAATCATAGAAAATGAAATGTTTTAACATATTATACCAGAAAAAGCGTTATAATATACTTTTCAATGCAAATCATTGAATATAAGTTAATAGAGTCAAGAAAGCAATTATTCAATTAATGAATGATTGAGACCTTCACTCAAGGCTATACTTATAAGTAGCCTTTTTTATAGCAGTTTTTAATGTCATAACCAATTGGCAGTAACTTACCTAACGGTTTGATAAAGTGTATATTTAAAAGAAACATGCATAGTCTTGAATATAAAAAAAATAACCCCCCCCCCCAAAAAAAAAAAACAAGCCAAACAAACAAACAAACAAAAAAAACTCATTCTCTATAAAATAGAGAAAACCAGAATCTCTTCAGAAATCCCAACGCTGCAAATATTTCAAATTGAAAATATTGCAGGCTTGTTTGATTGAGCCTGTTTATGGACGGTACTGGAAATTTGCAAGTGACCGTCCACGTCCCCTGCCTTCCGGCTTAAGCAAAATTCAACATTTAAAGCACACAAAGGGTTATTTTTTAACTTAGAAATATCCGCAAGTTGTGTTCATAAGGCAGTTATCATAAAACCTCAAATGTGACAACAGTAAGTGCCGTTCCATGAAAAAGCGGCGCATAATCCCCCAAATAAGTCAACATAAAATATAGAGATGAACATTAACAATTGTGTGAAGTTCATCTTGATTAAAGCTTGGTATGATTTAAATCTATCAATATAGGTGTCGCCTGATTAATTTCAACACACTTTACAACGCACGCCCACCCCACAATAGATATGTATTAGAACAGTTGAATATGCAGTTATGCATTGATACTTACCAGTCACCTAATTACAGATATGACGTAATATAAACTACTCAATGTGTGTAAACATATTTCCTGCAAGCATGTTAGAAGAGTAAAACAATATCAAAGTTTCTGCGCACTTGAACCATGCATTACCACAATAACGAACTTAAGTTGGTGTATGTTTCCTAAATACAATATGTTAAGCTACTTAACAAAGGCCAAGAGATATAATTAGAAATAAAAAAAAACTTATCAATCAAGGAATGTGTTTACTTTTTCTGCATTTTGGAAAAGACCCGTTATTTCCAAACTGCCATGATTTATCTCGTTCATCCTCAATCCACTCGCCGTTTATACATTTGAATCTTCTATTTACAGGTTCGTGCATAGCCTCCACCGCCTTTGAACAGTTGAAGTAAACATAGTCCTCCACCTCAACAACAGAACCTCCAGAGAGACTTACATGAAATTTGTCAGAAATTGACAGACGTGTGTCAAACTCATACGGCACTTTACAATGACCTGCATAAACACAAAAATCAAAAACATTATTTAATACCTAAAAAAGTCGAATGATTGTATACTATTATGCTTTAACCTCTGCAATTAATACTCGTTTAATGTGGCGGCTTTGCAAGAACCAACAAATTCCAAACACATTAACATAATCGAGCTAAAGATGATTTTGTATATCAAACCTGTAAATTTGAATACAATCAATACCTTTCATATCTCAATTTAATTCTTGTTTTTAAAAGCTACAGTATGCAATTATTTTCTTTAACTGTAAACAAGTTAACATCTCCCTTGTATGGGTCTTGAAATAGGGCCAATTAAATAAAGATATGACTTTTTTGTACAATGTATACTACATGTACCATCATAAATTTGACTTCGTGACACAGGTGTTTAGTGGGTTTGGTAATCTTGTACGTAAATCGGTAGATATAAGTTTGAATATCATGCGAGGCGTTAATGTTAATGTTAATAATGTTTTGTTACAAAGTTCTTATTTCCGAAGAATTGGAAAGTTATCTTTATGTTATTTCAAAATATTTCTGGTTAAAAGTAATAATGTGTCACTATCAAGAAATTAAATGCAAAAATAGATGATTAGTATTATGAAGCAGAAAAAAGAACCAAAACAATTTGACATCTTTATGAATACATAAAAACACAATGAATTTATGTAGACGACGTCGAATTACGAATCATTCATTAGAACAATAAAAAATGATTGCCTGAATTCAAACACAATTCAAACATATCAGTTGCAGAAAATAATTTAGTCATAAGAATTAACAATGATGTACGGCCTTTTGAAAATTAAACAACTAGTCTGCGATTTATTTCAGGATAAAACAAAACGTCATAGGCAATTTTTCTACAATTAAATTCATTCATAAAAAAAGGAAAAGAAATCAACTTTGTATAATTTCCCGATTGGTACGACATTTCTATTAACAACTGTGAATCACTTATAAATGTCACAGATCTTTATCTTCTTTGATATTTTTGTAAAAATCTTATTAAAGTATTTCTTTTAAAAATCCCATTATAGACTTAATAACATGTATCTTAAATATTTCGAAAATATTTGAATGGCGTTTTTGATTTTTTTCTATTTTTATTATTAAATTATAACATACACTCCATGGCATTGCAAGTTTTTTTGCAACTATTTCCGAGTAATTGATAGAATATATTGTTAATACTGAAATTATAACACCTTACAAAAATAGTTTTAGTTTCAATGTGACACCAGAAAAGTTAGGCATTCATTTTAACATTTCGATTCCTATATAATATTAGTTTTATTTTAATAACAAAGAAGCTATAAACCGTTTCGTCAAATGTATAAATGAATTCCATTATACCATATCCATTGCTTTTTAGTTTTTTTTGTTAGTTTCAAATACTAGAGTTAGTTCATGTTTGAGGTGATAGTGATTACATTTGTAAAACAATATTCAAACAAAAACAATTAAAACAAGAACCGGTTGAACCGGGTGATGCTCCCCGAGAAGGTTCTGGACACAAGAAAGTATAAAAAAAATGAACAAAGGGCAATAACTCCAAAATTAGACCAGGCTTTGTTTAGGTTCTTGAAGCGTTGCAGTTCTATCCAATTATATCTAGCTACCTACAAAGTTTCATGTTGATATCTCTAATAGTTTTAAAGTAATGTCCAGGACAAAAGTCAAAAAGTAAAAACAAACAAAGGGCAATTACTTCAAAATAAGGCAAGGCAGAGTAATGATTCTTAAGCACTGCACTTCCACCCAATGAGACCTATCTATCTACAAAGTTTTCATGTTGATATCTCTTATAATTTTAAAGTAATGTCCCAGACAAAGTTCAAAGTGTCAAAATGAACAAAGGGCAATAACTACAAAAGTAGCCAAGACAGTGTTACAGTTCTTGTGCACTGCAAACTTACTCAATGAGATCTATCTACCTACAAAGTTTTATGTTGATATCTCTTATACATTAAGAAATATGTCCCGGACAAAGTTCAAAGTGTAAAAATAAACAAAGGGGGATAATTCAAAAATTAGGCAAGGCAGAGTTAAGGTTCTTGTTCACTGCACACCTACTCAATGAGATCTATCTACCTACAAAGTTTCATGTTGATACCTCTTATACTTTTAGAGTTATGTCCCGGACAAAGTTCAAAGTGTAAAGTAAACAAAGGGGGATAATTCAAAAATTAGACAAGGCAGAGTTACGGTTCTTGTGCACTGCACACCTACTCAATGAGATCTATCTACCTACAAAGTTTCATGTTGATACCTCTTATACTTTTAGAGTTATGTCCCGGACAAATTTCAAAGTGTAAAATAAACAAAGGGGGATAATTCAAAAATTAGGCAAGGCAGAGTTACGATTCTTGTGCACTGCACACCTACTCAATGAGATCTATCTACCTACAAAGTTTCATGTTGATACCTCTTATACTTTTAGAGTTATGTCCCGGACAAAGTTCAAAGTGTAAAATAAACAAAGGGGGATAATTCAAAAATTAGGCAAGGCAGAGTAACGGTTCTTGTGCACTGCACTTCTACTCAATGAGATCTATCTACCTACAAAGTTTCATGTTGATACCTCTTATACTTTTAGAGTTATGTCCCGGACAAATTTCAAAGTGTAAAATAAACAAAGGGGAATAATTCAAAAATTAGGCAAGGCAGAGTTACGGTTCTTGTGCACTGCACTTCTACTCAATGAGATCTATCTACCTACAAAGTTTCATGTTGATACCTCTTATACTTTTAGAGTTATGTCCCGGACAAAGTTCAAAGTGTAAAATAAACAAAGGGGGATAATTCAAAATTTAGGCAAGGCAGAGTTATGGTTCTTGTGCACTGCACTTCTACTCAATGAGATCTATCTACCTACAAAGTTTCATGTTGATACCTCTTATACTTTTAGAGTTATGTCCCGGACAAAGTTCAAAGTGTAAAAATAAACAAAGGGGGATAATTCAAAAATTAGGCAAGGCAGAGTTACGGTTCTTGTGCACTGCACACCTACTCAATGAGATCTATCTACCTACAAAGTTTCATGTTGATACCTCTTGTTGTTTCAAAGTTATGTCCCGGACAAGAAAAGGGGACGGACGGACGGACGGACGGACGGAAAGACGGACGGACGGACGGACGGATGGACGGACGGACGGACAAGGCGGCGACTATATGCTCCCCCGAAATTTTTTCGGGGAGCATAAAAATATTATATGATGTTGTTGTTTAATTTCTGACTTCAGTCACTATCAGCTACAAATTCAACACAAAACCAAGCAAAAAAAATATTTCTGGACTAATCAATTAGTCATTAGTAGCCCAAATGCTGTGAGAAAGTGGGTGGACTTTTTTATTTTGTATACGTTTCGAAAAAACAATTGTTGCAATTGTTTATGGTATTAAATTTAGATAATTGTCTCCAAGACTTTAAACTGGGACATGGACTATATAAACAGTTTGGTAGCCGAGATACATGGCAAATGTTTTGAATATGATCAGTTTTGTTATGTCAAACGTTGTTTGCTTTTGCAAATATAAAATGAATTAGTATAGAAGAATTGTTACTCATGTTATTCACATATGTCACCTTCTTTTTATTGACAGCGACACTTGTCACAGATATCAACTGGAAACTTCACAAGCATTTTCTTTAGGAATATTTTTGATGAACACAATTTGTACATATATTTTGTTGAGACTATAAACTCAAAACAGCTCGACATTTGGGGATGATAAGTGCTCATAGTCCGACATTGTAGCTGTTTTCTTAAGTTAATTTTGATAGTTGCCTTTTGATGTGTATTCAAATGTGTTCAAATAGAATCTTATTTTTATACCTGTTCGTCGGTTCGATTCTCGTAGCATGTAGCTGTCACTTATTCTATACGCATTTTCGCATATTTCCGTTACAAATTTCAAATTCAAATAACAGTATGAAAACTACATCTTAAAAAAAAGTCTGGTAAATAGAATAAAAGAAAATAAGATCGATAAAGAAGATATTTTCTTCATATTAGAGAAGGTTTTCTGCTTATATTTGAAATGGTTGATGACATCCATAAAAACGCAAGTTCCTTTTTTAAATGACGTCATTGCCGTGTGGGAATATGTAGCACGAGGGTTACAGTTTGATGCAGTTACGCAGCTGTATTCCTTTATTATAGGAAAAAGTGTGAGCATGCAGTGGATGCGAGAATAACAGCGTTATTGACAATATCTCTTAAACCTCTTGTCTCAAACAATTTTGTATAAAATAATGAAAATTTAAATCTTCAAAGAAAAACCCGGGACCTCTAAAAATTGAAAATATTGCAGACAAGGGTTTAACTGGCATTGTTCATGGGCGCAAGCTACCGTACAACAATAGCGATTAAAATTCGTTATCTCTAACAATATCCATATAGATTCTTTTAAGAGCTTTGAAGCCGTCTAGCAGAAACAAATTGGCTGTTGTACAGTATATCTGACATGGTCATGTCATAATGATTATGATTTTATGTCACATATTTCATTTCGCCAAAATAATTTTGATACAGAGCAAACTAATGATTCACATTGGATAGGTATATAACGGGATATATTGAGACTCATACAATGAAAAAACAATATTTAAAGACTCGTCTGGCGGCCCGTCAAATCATCCAGCTTTGTACTATCTCCATTTCATTCCTGTATAGTGCACCTCATTGTTAAAGAACGTAAATTAATTTAAACACCTAAAAGAATAACAATTACTCAGTCTTTTTATTGTTTGCTAGCTTGAACACCGTTGCATGACGATTACGTTTCATTCCATATCTTGTATACTTCTTGTCGCATTTATATTAAATATGACAGGCTGTTGATAAGTACTATAAAAGTATTACATCATTATTGTGAACATCAATATCTATTATATCACATCTAACCATGCTCGTTCTCTGTGTTATTCCTTGATCGGACTATAAAATCTTACCAAAGTCACACGTGAAACCGCGAACTGCTTCACTTCACCAATA